ACCAATTTACCGACCCCGGAGAGAAGGAAGGCTTGGTTGGCCTAGGTGGGCATCGACCCGGAATTCGAACCCCCAACCGTGCGTGTGATATAGTGCGTCCCTTGCCCATACACCACCTCCGCTCTTATCAATTAATTGAATTAATTGTTCCTTTTTGATACGGTCATGATCCATTTCTTGACTCTGTTGGAACGAATGTCCAAATCTGCTTTGCCCGGTTGGGTTTCCACTAATTGGACCTAATGGCACACGGTGGGCGATCTGAGCAAGTTTCCACATCCACTTTTAATTCCCCACATTTTGAGGCATTTTTTATGAATAAGAAAAAAATCTTCAACTGGATAGATTAGATCAGCAAAAGTCGCCGTCGATCGCAGAATTTATGCAGGTTTTAAAGACTGGTATGAGTGTGAGGACACTTTTGATCTGTTCCGTTTACTCACTCTCATAAATTGCTCTCCGTTCACTATTCATGGGACCGCCAAGAGCTGATACTTCTACAGCACCTTCCCAGTGATCGTGGCTACCAGGCGCTTCTAAAGGGTTACAGATAGTGACTAGGAGAAAACTTTGGTGCCTAGCCATGATAGAAGATTGATGTAGGAAATGAAATGATGCGAATGCCAAGCCGATGACACTTTCGAGTGTGCTTTTACACCTCCCGAACAGTGTTTAATGCTAAATCTCACTTTCCTTTCCATGATCCCGTCCAATTTTTCAGAATCCTCAAAGAAGCCTTCACTCCACGCCAATTTGACAGTTTCTTTTGGTTTTTTTCCCTTTCGCTGGCCAGCTTTATAGCGTTGACAGTTCCATCGTTGAATCCCATTACTTACATTTCGCCACCGGGGGGATATCCAGGTGTTCGCATTGTCTGCCAGCACAGGTCATTTGAACCGTCCGACTAATTTTTTCGGAGTACTCCCAGTTCCCTTTCAATTCTCGTTCATCTCTGATTAATTCCCTTTTACAGGTCCGATCAAAAACGGCAGCTGCAACTTCGGCACGAGGCCGTCGTACGGTAGTTACAGCGGCTTTGATTTTCGGTACATTCCTGGTTGGATGGACTCCGGCCAGCATTCTGTACCTGCTCACCGCTGATGGCATGCCACTATTTCGTAAATCAGGACTATTGATCAGTGTCCTATCGATCGTTGTTCTAATCAATATTATGATCAAATCACTTACCAACCCAATCATTTATGCAACTAGGTAAGTTTGGGATAAGAGCCTTTTCTTCCGAATTTTTCAATATTGCCTCGAAATGCACTACTTGGCCCGTCAAATCCAAACCATTCCAGGATACCCGAAATTCGACACTTTGTTCTTCATCGTCTTTTGTGGCGTATCGTTCCACTACGCGAAGATACAAGCGCTCGTGAAGATGTGTCCAGGAAAACGGAAACGAAGCTATTGCGCAGTTCTGAACAACCACACCTTGTGTAGACGTTGTACAGTCATTATGTGACTTGGAATACGCCATGCATGCTTTGGTGCAAAAGGATATCCTGTACAATGAAGACAGGACTTCTCGATTGACGTCATAGAACACAAAGCTCAATGCATGCCAAGAGAAGCTGTTCGAAGGAAACTAGGCGAGATTCCCTTCCTGTTTGAGTTGGGGTACTAACGGACACCAAGACACTCTGCCCCTGAATTAGCCATCTGCCAAATGGCCCTGGTAATCGAAAAAAGGAACAACCAGTGAGAGCATGACCGAGTGAAACAAATGATCCCCTACATTGGTCTGTACCATTTTAACGGCCAGTAGAACGGAGATTTGTGAATGTGATCCTTCTTGCAGCTTCTGATCGCCTTTAGTCAACGGGCCTTTGATTGTAATTTTTAATATTTCACGATGCGTGTATACTATGTTTGCATAAATATCGATCTGAACACTATTTTCATTTTTCTACTTCTTGGAAAACAATTTCTCTTTGTCATCATAGTTACACCTCGGGTTTAGCTGAGATATTTA